CACTCTTTCCCGCGTCTGTCAAATGGTTGTTTTCTGCGACAAATTCACTTTAATTATATAGCATAAAGTAGATTTGAGGGCTAAGTATTCTTAAATTAGATTATTTGTGCTTCACTTTAGGTTCTTCAAGACAACAGTGCCAGGAAAGAGGAACTCCGTGCTCGAGCTAAAGGGTTGAAAACTCTTGGTAAAATCTTCCAGGTGATATTTCTTTTCAAACTTCCTACAGAAATTTTATCTATATTGTGTATTGATTATGAAATATTTTGAATTCATGATTCCAATTTAGAGGGTTAAGTCAGCCAATGGTAACGAGAATGAAAGCATACCAAATAAGGAAGTACACAAGTTGAATGGAAGTGAAACTAGCAACGATGCTTGTTCTCCTAGTACATCACCCAAATCTTCAAGTCCTGATTTTTCAACTCATGCTGTATTTGTATCCCAGGTGCAATTTTCCCCACTGATCCTTTAATTTCATTTATATACTGTACAATTTAGGCTTTTTTTTTCCCTAATTCATTTACATAAGTGCAAGTATTTATAGTGATATCTTATATTTGTTTTAATACAAATTGATGTAGAGTCCCTATGTGGAGGCCCCGCAGTTTGCTGGAATGCAATTTGACTATAACTTTCCTAGGCCAACCGCCCCCCCAGGTGCCCAGAGACCTACTCCAACCAGCAAGGATCGAGTTTGATATCCCGGGTGTAGTTTTTTTTTTTTTTTTTTTTTGCTTGATGGAGGGGGGTTATTGTATGTATTGCTCGTATGGTATCTTGTCAAATGTGCTTGTGCAATAGATGTTTGCTGGTAATCGCATTTTGTCCGCAGGGACCGCATTGTGCAGTGTGGTTTTGCATGTGTAATAATTCTACACATAGACGAGGGATAGATAATTTAAGGTAGTTTCATCATTGCCAGCTGGCCGTGATTGGCTGCCATGTATTTGAATTGTGTATTTTCTTGGGGTGTTTGCATTTAGGTTTCATTTCCTTTTCCGTGTTTCTTTTTTCTTAAGAGGTAGTGCGATGTCCGGATTCATGTATAATAACTCAATTTAATGGATATAAATATATATAGATTAGAAATCTACAGAATAAGTTTTGATAGATTTATTTTATTTAATAAATCATGTTATGTGTAGACTTATTTTAATAATTAACGTTTTATATCAAATTTTAATGATCGAACGGTTAAATTATAAGTATTTAATGTAAGATCAAGTTTACAAATTTTGAAAATTATATCATATTTTGTTATATAAATTTGGCTTAAATATGTTTTTAGTCCCTCAAATTTAGGGTAAATCTGTTTTTGGTCCTTCAAATTTAAAATTGTTAGTTTTAGTCCCTGTAATTTCAAAAAAAATTATTTTAATCCTTATATTCAAATTTTGTTAAGAAATTTATCAAATATTATTGCATAAAATCTATCTATTGGTGTCCTTATTAGTGAAAATATCACATTAAATCCGGTTGATATTACATAATTGTCTTAATTAGTCACTTTTAAATATGTTATTGGTGACCTAAGGAACTAAAACAAGATTTTTGAAAATTATAGGAACTAAAAATAATAGTTTTAAATTTGAGGGACCAAAAATAAATTTGTCTTAAATTTGAGGGACTAAAAATATATTTAAGCCTATAAATTTTAATTAATGTATAAAATATTTGTATGATTATTCGTCAATTTAAACTAATGAAATGAAGTAATAAATAATTTTTAATTTTATTTATGTATTAAAATTTTTTAATTTAATAATTGAAATCTAATGGAGAGCATAGGTTAATAAGTGAAGCTACTAAGTAAGTGGATACACACATGTAATCTTGGAGTAAAGAGAAAGATCAAATAATATCAATATAATTTTTATTAATTATTACATTGTATAATAATTTTTAATTAAATGATTATTTTTAAAAATTTATCATTAGATTAAAAGTTTTTTTTTCTCATAAATCATATATACAAAGTTTTATATTAATTTAAAATTGTTTGATATCCCATTTATATAGGTTAAAATTAGCGTATTATATATATTTTTAATTATACTAAAATATGAATTGTTTGATTGTCTTTTTATTATTGTTTAATTTTAACAAAATTTTACATACATTTTTAAAGTGATATAAACTTATGATTGAATGGTTGGATGTATTTTTTATATAAAGTTATTGAATGATATAATAATTGTATATAAATCCTAAACCATATATATATATATATATATTAGGGAGAAATCAAATGATACCGGTGTAACTTTTATCAATTATTATATTGTTCAATAGTTTTTATTAAATTATGATATTTTAATATTTATTAGTGAATTGAAAGTACTTTACTTTTAAATCATATGTGCAAAATTTTATATTAATCAAAAATGATATGATATCTCATTTATATATTCAAAAATTGATAATATATGTTTTAAAATATACAAAAAAATATGAACAATTTGATTACTTTCAAATTGTTCTTCAATTTTAACAAAATTTGATATGAATACTAGGGTTGAGCCAAAATTGACTTTGGAAAAGAATATGTGTATCTTTGATAAAGATAATAGAACTCAATCTAGTTGGACTGAGAATGAACATAATCTCGGTGGTTGAGACAAACTAGTATAAAATTATATGTTCAATTTCTTGACCCTTTGTAATGTTCTCTTTGTGGTTTATGTTATTAGTTCATTGTTTTAAAAAGTGTAAGTTTTTTATAAACATTATTCAACCCTTCCTTTTAGTGTTTGTCTTTTTCTCCACAAACTTTTTCTTCTTTTACTCTATATAATTTAAAATGTCTCTTTTAGTCTTATACATATACATAGTTTTTCTCTTCCTTTTTAACCTCAACCATTATTTTTCATTAAATTTGTTTGTGTTGTGTGAAGTAGCAAATACCACTTCGACGTGACATTTATAGTGTTAAATTTTTTTTGTTTAAATATATTAAAAGTACCCACAATTTCATACCATTTGCATCAAGAATCCAAATAAAAAATAATAACAAAAAATTAAAAAACACTTACGATAGAACCTAAAATCAAAACTATATACCTTATAATTAGGACACCTTAGTAACTTTCACAAAAGTTTTTGATATATATAGTTTTACCTACTTCTACAAGCACAATAAGTGATCCTCGAAGAAGATTTTCTACTTTTGATTATTAAACTTCTTTTTATCTCTTTTAAAGAAAAATGATGTGTTCATGTTAATCAAAATTCAAACATTCTATATACCCAAATTATTAGTGCCTTTGACACTGACATTGCCCTTTACTGTAGAAAAAGAACAACCAAAACTCATTAATGGTGACAATCCCAATTTTAAAATTAACCATAATATCGTTGTAATTGAACAATATAAGGTAACTTCAAATAAATAAATAAAATCACTTCAAAGTAATTTTTATCATGGAATCACAATACAATTAACGTTAATAGAAAATAAATAAGAGGAAGTAAAAGAAACTATTAAGACAAAAATGTTATCCGACTTGGCTTGTATTGGTTAGTTTAACTTGTTGACCAAGAATAGAAATCATGCATTTAACGAGTCTAAACCACTTAATGAGGAGGGTTTAGACAATTGTATAACTTTTATCAACTATTATATTATTTAATAACTTTATATCAAATGTGAATTTTGTCAGTCAACCTATTGAATTATAACTTTATGTCACCTTGTATGTGTATATCAAATTTGTTAAAAATTGAACAACAATTTAAAAGTAATAAAAGTGTTTATATTTTAGTATATTTTGAAATATTTATATTTCTTCAATTTTATTATTTAAGAATGAGGTACCAAGACATCTTGAATTAATATAAAATTTTGTATATATGATATAAGAGATCCAATATCATCTTTTGACTTAATACCGTTGTCAATTATTTATCAATTAATTGTTAAAGTTGTAACATTAGTTGTGACATGATATTAAGCACATGACATAAAAATTTTATCTGTCCCATAATAAGTGTCGTTCCATGTTATTTTATACAAATAAAGAAAAATTAATAAATATATGAAAGAGAATAATAATTTTACAAATTTAACCTCATTATTAATCTTCTGTAGTAGAAATGATGCAACACATAAACATCTTTCTATGCAATATTATGAGTTAATCACCTATATATTGTCAGTGTATTTTTTTTTTACACTGGTGGCAACCAATTATATCTTTTAATTGTGCCATATCACTGTAAACACATTTACTTCTAACAGTGACATGATACAAGTAAAAGATATAATTAGTTGTCAGTGTAAAAAAACTTTATACTGACAGTGTATAAGTGATTAATTTCAATATTATTGGGGGTATATTATTGGGGGTATAGTTGAAAAAGTGGTCATTAATATTGTATTGATATGACATTTAATTTGGTACATTTTGTTTTTGATGGGACACTTATTATAAAATTAAGGAGTAATAATTAATAATATTTAGGATAAATTTCTCTATTAATTTCCATTTTTATTTCATAAAAATAGTTAAATGAGATGATTTTTTTTCTGTTCGCTTTTCTGACAACATGGCAAGGAGTGTGGTATATATGTTGCGTCTGCCTCACATTTTGCTTGAATGCACACTTCCCCTTCGTTTTGCTTCTTTCGTGCGTCTGGCAGAATATATTTATTTTGATAAATAATTTAAAAAAAAATTATTTTAAACATTTTTTTTAATTTATATAGGTTGAAAAGTCCATGTCTGATTCAAAATTGTGAATCAAGTCACAACATTTCTCATTTTGACGATATTATCTTATATATGAAGTTACATCATTTCTCATATATTAAGTTACATGTATCAGAATGAGAGAATCTTGCTAGCTATGAGAAAGCTAAGAAAAACATATAACAATATAACATAATTTAGTTTTTAGTTTTTAACTTTGAAATATCGAATGATTTTTTTATCATTCATGTTTCTCTTATCTCGAAATGGTTTCAAGAAAAATACTAAATGGTTTTTTGTAATTTGGATTTAAAAAAATTAGTACTAAATTATTTTTTAAAAATTTCAAGATTTTAAATTGATACCATTATTTTTAATATTTAAAAAAATTAAAATCACATGTTTTTTTGGGGATGATTCCCAATTCCCACGCATGTGCTTACATGTCTTAAAAAATGAAAACTGGCGTTAAAAAAAAAAAGGAAAATATTTACTTAATTTTAAATTTTAGTTAGGACATATTAGGAGACAATCATGTGAAAGAGGAGCAAGAAGGAAGTGTTGTGGGAGGAGAGAGACAGAGGCGCAGAGCTGCGATCAGCAGAGTGGAAGCGCGAAACGGTCCTCCCCGGCTTTCCTTTTTTATTTTTTATTTTTTCCCCTTCTGATATAATTTGAGCTCATCCCAGTCGCGCACAATTAAAGCCAGCATAACCCTTCGGATTGAATTTAAATTCGGAAAAGCGAACTTGTGTACTTTACATTTACAGATTGAGTCTCCTTTCTCTTCCTTTGCAAATCTGTGGCTACGGGGTATCATATTTGTGTAGTGCTATTTTTCCTCAGATCTAGTGTCCGTAAAGCGGTTACCATTTCACCTCTCAGATCTAGAGTCTGAAATAGAAGATGGAAAGCGAGAAGAAATCGTCTTCGATATCTGATGTGGGGGCATGGGCCATGAACGTTGTCAGCTCCGTCGGAATTATTATGGCCAACAAACAGCTTATGTCCAACACTGGCTATGCTTTCGGCTTTGGTTAGCTTCTCACTTCTCAGCTTTTATTTCTCTGTGTTTGGATCTGAGACTGAGAGCGATAGATCTCTAAATTATTCGACATTATATGTATTCTGTCGTATCTTTCTATTTCACTTACTACGATGCGGCCATTTTTATGGTTCTGTATCTCCTCTGTCAGTCACGATCCATGATATTTACTGATCTTTTTAAGATATTTTCCATTTTCGAAAAACATTTAGTTGATACTTGACAATGACCGTTGTTTATTTTATTGTTGCTTGTTATTATTAAGAATGATGATTTCTGATATGACAATTAAACGCTATTAGTATTATGTGCAAACTTTTAATGTTATATTGCTTACGAAAGTTTCTTCTCATAACTTGTCTTATCTTTTCTTAATTTTTTCCAGCCAGTTCATTAACTGGGTTCCACTTTGCCGTTACTGCTCTCGTTGGCCTGGTGTCAAATGCTACCGGTTACTCAGCGTCAAAGTATGTTCCTATGTGGGAGCTTATTTGGTTCTCATTGGTTGCCAATATGTCTATCACGGGGATGAACTTTAGTCTCATGCTCAACTCCGTTGGATTCTACCAAGTATGGTCTTATTACGGGCCTTTCTGCCCATAGGAATATCACATATCATGTTCATGGCTTGGACAGTTAAACTTTAATTTTCTTTCTTGTTAAGAATTTCATCCAATAGTCTTTTTAAAATTCCCATCCTTCTTCCTTAAGTTGTGCATGCATATAATCCAGACCATCATCCATCATAGTCATACCATTTTGCCAAGCATGCACCAAGGCAATTATTTTGAAGCATTTCATGCTAGAAGTTGTAATAAAGCGTACCTGCCTAACCTATGGTTCAGTCAGATGCTCGTAATGTTGAATTGTATATGTATACTTTATATTTTGTTGCATTGTGAAATTAAAGAGCTTTTGATAAAAACAATTAAACACTACATACAACTAGAAATTTCGGGTTTATGGATCCATTCTTAATAGCCAACCTAAAAAGTCTGATGATATGAATTCCATATTGAAGCATTTAATTGCTAGTAGTGTTGCTATGTTTGGAATTTTGATTGACTTGCATAGTTAATTGAAAAGTTAAAATGAGGAATTTCACCTTTAGTTTACCTGATGCCCATTGGTTTTCCATTTAACTATCTGCAGCTATAAGTACTAATGTCAACCCTTGAAGTATGACTATCTAAAGAGATACTTATTGTTGTGTCAGGAATAATAATGCAACTTTTGTATGACAAAAAATTTGTGGTAGCCTAAAAATAAAATCTATCTTCTAATGCTCTTTTAGATGTAGACCTATTGTGCTTGGCATGGAGTAGGGTCAGGTCTAGGTATGCTTAGCATTTGCGAGGAAGAGATGGACAATTAACTCCCAGGTCCCACTCTAATGCCCAAGTTAACATCGAGAATAAAGATAATGCTCGAAAGAGTATTGAATGAATGACAAAGTGTTTGTGCCTTTGTAATGAGAGGGAGCTACTCTTGGCTTTGTTTGAGTGGGTGATTGGGAAGAGCCAGCAGTCTTGGGCTGTGAGTTGGAGCATCTGGTTGTGAGTCGTTCTCCATAAGGACCTACATACTGTGCTGCCAGCATGTATATAGAGTTGTGTTGTGCACCAGGATATTCACACTCAAACATATCTCTACATTAATAAGATATTGTTCACTTTGAACTTATGTCTTCATGGTTTTGTTTTTGATCATTTCCTAAAAAGCTTCTTATCAATGAAGATTTTATGTGTTTATAAAACCATGTTCATCCTTTTGTTTTAACGATCTTGGACTTTGATTGTATCCTAACAATTCTCTCCTCAAACAACCATCATACTTGTCTAATTGATCACCATTGGCTTTGATACCACTTGTTGTGTACTGGGGGTTGATACACACATACATGTTTCACATTAGTAAGATATTGGCCACTTTAAACCTAAGTTCTTATGATTTTACTTTTGATCATCTTCCAAAAGGTTTTATTCTAATAGAGACTGTGTTTATAAATTCATGTCTATCCTTTTGTTCTAACAATGTGAGATTTTAATTGTATTCCAACAAGTTGTTATCTACTTCTATGCCATTTGTTACTGTATGGTGTCAAGTTGCTTATCTACTATTATGCCATTGTGATTAGTTTAGAATGAGAGGGAGAGGGAAGCTAAGGTGTGCAACTTATTTTTATAAGATCCTTCATTTAGTTTTCTTTTTCATATATATATATATATAAATATACTTCTCTCCTATTCTTTTATAAAATATAAGTTCCTTAACTTCTAAAGATTTTTCCTCTAAATGTGTTTGGTCGAACTTCTCCAAGAAAAACTAAAAAAAAGTTGGGCCAAATACTTCCTTAGATTGTGCTCAACTTTTCATTTTAGAGGAGCAAGTGGGAGTTACTGTAATTATATATCAATTCTTGTATATTAGGAGGTGTTGGCTGTGTCACATTGTTTTCAGACTCATTTGTCCATTCCCATGAATCACTTTTAATGTATCAATGTATCATAAATGATAGTTGCCTTCTCATGTCTTCACTGAATTTTCATCGTTGCTTTTCAGTTGTTAATTTTCTGGTTATATATGGTCAGATATCAAAACTGAGCATGATTCCTGTGGTTTGTGTGATGGAATGGATCCTCCACAATAAGCACTACTCAAGGGAAGTGAAATTGTCAGTGGTGGTTGTGGTTATTGGTGTTGGCGTTTGCACTGTAACTGATGTAAAAGTTAACCTCAAAGGTTTCATGTGTGCCTGTTTAGCAGTTTTGTCAACATCTTTACAGCAAATTGTAAGTATTGTTTAATGTCTCTTCTCCAATATGCTGGTGATATATAATTCATTGCTATTTCTGTTGTAGTTTCCTTTTCACCTGTCATTTTATATATTATGAATTGGTGCAATTCTAGGTGAGTTCTAGACAGAACTTCATTAGATTTAGAATCACGACTAAGCATCATTTTTTTTCCCTTCTAAGGTCTAATAATGACCTGTCTTTCGCCTGTAAATGATCACTTGTTGTATATGCTATTATTTATTCGTTATGTTTGTGGGATTTATTCTTTTTTAACTGAGTCTTTTTCTTGCCTTTTTTTGTAACAGTCAATAGGTTCCCTTCAAAAGAAATATTCGATTGGATCTTTTGAATTGCTGAGTAAAACTGCTCCCATTCAAGCCCTTTTTCTTCTCATTCTTGGTCCATTTGTGGATTACTACCTCAGTGGCAAATTGATAACGAACTATAAGATGTCTTCTGGTGCCATTGTAAGTTCCTTTTCCCCTATTGACACTAGTTTGTTGTTAGGATTATTTTATAGTATTTATCTAGAAAATATTTATATTTATAAGAGGAGGATTATAATTTCGTTATTTTTATAAGGTTATTTTACACACAATTCCATAATGATGAGATATTATCTGTTCGACCTAACCTTTCATATAGCGGAATCTGTTTTTGTATATCATATGATCATTTATCACTTTTTTTTAGTTATAACTTATTGATTGTCATCGAATCTGTGGTTATGACACTGCTGATATTGTCTGCTTTGGGCTTAAATTTTCACGGTTTTATTTTTGGTTATCATCAAAAATGTCTCTATATCATTGAAGTATATATGTGTTTTATAAGTTGTTATTTTTTTCTTTATTTTATCGATGTGAAACCTTATTTGTATCCAAACATCTGTCATATTATGTAAGTATTTATCTTTAATTATACAACTAATGTTGGGTTATTCTTTTAAATTTTTTCTTTGACCTCTGCAGTTATGTATTCTTCTTTCATGCTCGCTAGCTGTATTTTGCAATGTGAGCCAATACCTTTGCATTGGGCGCTTTTCAGCTGTTTCCTTCCAGGTTTTAGGCCACATGAAAACAGTATGTGTTCTGACGTTGGGATGGCTGCTATTTGATTCAGAGCTAACTTTCAAGAATATCATGGGAATGGTTATCGCAGTTGTTGGCATGGTAATTTACAGTTGGGCTGTTGAGGCTGAAAAGCAGTCAAATGCAAAGATCCTTCCTCACGCGAAAAACAGCCTGACGGAAGAAGAAATTAGACTATTGAAGGATGGAGTAGAAAAGAGTCCTCTGAAGGATGTTGAACTTGGTGAGGCTCAAGGATAGATTGACCCGGATTTGGTGGTTAAATTGATGAGAAATGAATGCCGGCAATTATACTGTGTATTGCTTTCATTTGGTTTGTTCCTTTTTTCTAGTCACATTTCTATCTGCTTACCCTGGCACGGATCCAGTTTTAGAACTTGTGTTCCCGTTCATCAGCAATGCTTCTTTATTAGTTTGATTTATTACTTTTGTTGTTGAGGTTATTTATTTGGCCTGAGAAAATTGTTAGATGAACAACGTGATGGCCCCATTAAGATGTATAATGTGTACGCAAATGAAAAGCGATATCAATCCCCTCTTGCAATTTCTGTTTTATATAAATTAAGTTCGGATCTTTTCCTTTCTTTTCTTTTTTTAAGGTTTAATACGTCATTTTGTTGATTAGAATTTTTGACTTACGTCTCTAAACTTAAAAAATTATAATTAAGTTTCTTTATATTTTTATATTTTATATAATTTAGATCTTGGGGTTATAAGTCTCTATTTAGATATTTGAAATTTCAAGATATTTTTTATATTTTCATATTTAGACAGTCAAATTAAATTACTATTTCGTATCATCTTTTTTTAATTTATCATAAATACATTGACAACACAAAGTTCAAACAAAATTATGTATATACTATCTTAATCTCCCACTACTAGGTCAATCTTAGTTGTTTTTCCATATCTTCATTGGTGCATTAGATTTTAATTATTATCCATTAAAATTTCTCACTATTTCATAATTTAGATTAAATATACTTTTAATTCTTGAACATTTGTCAATTTTTTTTATTTATTTTAGTACTTAAACAAGGTTTTTTGAGTTTTGGTCCCTAAAAGTTTTGTTCAACAACTTTTTTTTTTTTTGACATTTGAGAGCAAAACATTGATAGGAGAAAAAATTTAAGAACTAAAAGTGGAAACTAAAAAAAAGTTTAGAGACTAAAATTTGTAAAAATAAAAAATTGTTCAGGAATTAAAAACATATTAATCACGAGTAGGAATTTTTTATGGTTGGAAATTAAAATTTAAATATGATATACATAAATGATGTCATGAAATAATAATATATGGGACTTTTCTACAAATGAACTCTTTGCAAATCTAAGGTTCGAACCACACACTTTTGTCTCCACACCGTATTTTTGAACTATTAGCTTCCAAGATTGATAAAACCCTCATGATAGTGTTCCACATTGGTAAATTAGCTTTCTTGGAAGTATTGAAAAGGTGCCCATGTTGTACATAGCAACTTATCAAGAGATGAACCCACAATTTGTGGCTCCCTTGTAATATCCCCCAAACGAGTTTGCCTAGTAAGGCCACATTTTGGTTCCAGGTCGATTGCACACCTTGTCTGCTCATGTTTTGAGATCTAGTGATCCTTTGCCAACCTACCAAATGCATGTTGTGATCTGTACCCCCTTTTCAAATGAATTTGCAATTAGTTTTGTTTAGAAAGTCACATGTATGTTGTGGCAGCCAATCAATTTGCATATGGTATGTTCAAATGGCTAACAAAATAACATTAACTAGCGTCATTCTCCCTGATTTGTTTAGTAATGTATCCTTCCAAGTTACCAATTTGACTGACACCCTTTCTATGTATAAGCATAGTTTCCTTTCTTGGTCTGACCTTAAAGTAAATTAAATCTCAAACATCTCTTAATATGATTAGTATAGAAAATATTGCTCACATTGAGAATTTTCTCCTTCACCCTTGTCACTCTTTTAGAGGCATAAGCCTGAGATTTTTCCACATTGACCCTCATACTTGAGAGCTAGCAGAAATCATTCAATACCTTTATTACAAGCTAAGCTTGTGAAGTCTTCGATTTGGTGAAAATGAGGACATCATTTGTAAAAAAAAGGTGTGAGTTTTGGGCCCCCTTAGACGTTTGTATAGACTTCCACTTGCCAGGTGACACTTTCGAAGAAATTAAATCACCTAATTGTTCTATACACAAAACAAAGAGTTAGGGAGAGAACAATTTTCCCTAACGTAATCCATGTTTGGGAGTGAAAGAATTTTGATTTGCTTTCGTTTCGAAGTAGCAAATTGGAGGTAGAACAAATACCATGCATAATTAGAAAAACAAACCTCTCTAAGAATCAGAAAAGCCTCTAAGTTTGGCATAAAAAGTTCCAATCCACTAAATCATAGGCATTCTCTAAGTCCAACTTGAGCATAACATCACATTTGTGCTTCTTAGACTTAAACATGTAATGGATAATCTCATAGAAGAAAATAACATTATCAAAAGTACCCTATTCAAGATAAAGCTGCTTTGTACGAGACTCGTCATATCATTAAGGAAGGATCTTAGTCGATTTATAATTACTTTTGAAATGATTTTGTAAATCACATTGCATAAGAAGATTGGAAGAAATTCTTTTATGCTTGTTGGATGAACCACTTTAGAGATCAAAACTAAGAGAATCTTCTAAATTAGGATCAAAGATTTTGGTTACAAAAGTCTTCTAACCACTTATTAAAAAAAATATTAATAACATTAAAATTAAAATTAAATAGCTAAAATTTTTAAATTTCTCATAAATTATTATTTTATGATAGTTTTAAATTTCAAAGTTCAAGACACTCATAAATAATTCCAAAAACCTACTACGTCTCTGTCTCTCTTAATTTAGAGAACTACTTAAAATATTTGAAATACTTTTTTTGATTAGCTTTCTCAAATACTTTAAAAACAACAAAGTAATTTAACCTATAAAAAAATTACAGATAATTGATGATGTTTTTATGCTTATAGGATGGGGACAGGCTAAGGAGATAAAGTGAATTAATTTAAGAACAATTGAGAAATCGGAGGTGCGGTGATGGAAGTAACAAGTCCGACGATGACTTTGGATGGCGAAGATGTGGATTCGCTCTTTGAAGGGATGATACTGTTTAACCCTGCCGAAACTGAAGCAGAGCTCCGACAAGAGAAAGACAATGGTAGTGATGATTCTCTTCAATACGGTCAAAGTGATACTTGTTCGCAATCACAGCCCCTTGACGAGAATCTATTCTCTGACCTCACACTTGTGGTCGATCCCCTCCAAAACATAGAAGTAGGTGAAGTCGAGCACGATCTCCAATCTCAGCAGGCATCTATATCTGCTACCGCTCCAACTTCCTCGATACAGGGACAGGGTCAAGCCCCCAGAAGGAGAAAACGATCTGGCTTGAGGATTGGATACGGTAGGGACGTACTTTTTTCCAACGATCTGCCTCAAACACCTATTTCTGATGGTGGCAGCCTAGGGGATGCTGCTATTGGGGTCCGGGACACCCTTCCCTCCATTACCCCTGCCACTGACGATGCTGATGCTGATGCTGCTACTGTTACCCAACCATCTACTGAATCCTCCTCCAAATCAAAGAATGAGAATCGGAAACAGAAAGACGATTCAGCCTTTTCTGAGGCAGAGTTTCGGCAAATTAAGGCCAGCATACATGAGAAGCTTAACCATGCCAGTCAACAGGTAAAATCTGCTTCTTCTGCCCGAAAGGATTCCATCAGGAATAGAAGAAAAACTGCTGAGAATGCCAATCTTGCCTCCGTCAAACACTTGGAGCTTGAAAAGCAGTTGGAGGAAGCCTGCGAAGCTGAAGATTTCGAGAGGGCTGAAAAGGTTAGCGAAAACCTTTCTGCTGCCGAGAAGGAGAAACAAGCTTTCACCAATTCATTGAGAGAAGCGGATGCCTTTGTCGATGCTTTAGATTTAAAATTGCAGCATGCCCTTGACTCTCAGTTAGCTGCATTGGAACAATGCGCAATCTTACTTGACAATTATGCAACGGTTAGTAAAACATTGTCGGATGCACAACTATCACATCTTTCATCATTTATTTTCTCTTTCATGACAATCAAATGAAATCAAATGTTATGTTACAGATTTCAGACAAAAATCTTTCTGCTTTTGCATTTCCTTCTAACTTCACATAAATCCATCAATAAAATCAAATGTAATGTTACAGATTTTAGACGTTTATCTTCATGGTGTGAGTGATTTCACCATTTAAATCAATGTTTTACAAGAAAATTGATTACTTTCTCAAATCCCCTTACAATTAATTTTTTTTTCCTGGGAGGTATAACTCCCTCCCACTAAATCAACTCATTTATTTTAAGAATAAAATGGTACCTGTTATAACTCCATACCCTACCCAAGATGGGATCAAAATCCTTTGTTGTGTCGAACTATTTATATAAACTACTTTCGTATCCCTTTACACTCATGTAAGTGAATGATGTGATTGATGAATTTTAATTTAAGTCCAATTTTATTTAAGAGTTCCAGCTTTCCCTCTCCTTTTACTCTCACTGTCTCACCCAATGGCTATAAAATGTGGACACTGCAATTATTTCCACCCCCCCCCCCCACCTG